CATTGGATCCGCCTAGCAGGACTTGGCATGTACGTGGTTGAATGGAACTGCTGATATTAATATTTCTTTTGATATATTTTTTGGCGAAATTAACCGTTTATTTCGTGACTTGGTTGAAAGTTTTTTGCAAGTAAGCCTTTGTCAATTTTAACTTATTATCTAGTTAACAGATCATAAAGATATTCAAAAATTAAACACATTGGAATTTTGGATTGGTGGGTAATTTTTCCTAACCATAGCATTCAGTTTGCGAATGAAAACTTTGCTCCAGATTGAATTAATATTTTGTTTCTAAGTTTATTACTGCCTAAAGCGCTTTGTCGTACAAACGCTTTTCTTCCAAGAATAATACAGAGGGCTTCGATCTTAGAGATGTTTATCCTTTGTCTCTACATAGATTAATTGTCTCAGGCTATGAATATTCTTTCCCGAAAAAAAAGCTATAACTTAATTAGTTATCCTCAAACTTATCCTAAACGACATTGCATTGTCGATTTGGTAAACATTTTGGTTGTAAACAACTTCCTCGAAACGGCACATCTACCGTTGTAGCTGAGTTCATGTTTTAAAATATTTAACAATACGTAATGTAACAAAATATTCTTGAAAACAACTTAGACGGTATATTAGTATTAAATAAGAATAACGTTGATGAAACTTAGAAATAATTAGGTCCTATAAATAAGTGACGTTCAGATGACAAGTGTTGGTGGGAAGCCTATCTAGGAACAATTAGGTTCTATAAATAAGTGATGTTCAGATGACAAGTGTTGGTGGGAAGCCTATCTAGAAACAATTAGGTTTTATAAATAAGCGATGTTCAGATGACAAGTGTTGGTGGGAAGCCTATCTAGGAACAATTAGGTTCTATAAATAAGTGATGTTTAGATGACAAATGTTGGTGAGAAGCCTATCTAGGAACAATTAGGTTCTATAAATAAGTGATGTTCAGATGACAAATGTTGGTGAGAAGCCTATCTAGGAACAATTAGGTCCTATAAATAAGTGATGTTCAGATGACAAGTGTTGGTGAGAAGCCTATCTAGGAACAATTAGGTTCTATAAATAAGTGACGTTCAGATGACAAGTGTTGGTGAGAAGCCTATCTAGGAACAATTAGGTTCTATAAATAAGTGATGTTCAGATGACAAGTGTTGGTGAGAAAGTTACACTGAGTTTAGTTAAGATGTTGCATAACAACAGTCATTTCAATCTTATGTATCATTGGTGGTAGCTGACTATTATAGAATGAAGAATGTTAGATAAATCTTTATCTACAGATCTTTGACTAAGAAGATAAATTTCATTATAAACATCTGCCTTTTTTACTTGAAAATGAAATGTCAGATAAGGCAAACACAATTAATGTTATGATAAAACATTCAGGCCTATTTAATGGGATACTGCGCATATCTTTAGAGGGAGTAAGAGCATAATCGTCTACAAGTGGAAGCGTTTTATAGGTATTGATGGAAAGCTTCCAGTGTTAAATAATAATATTTGTTTTGTTTTGGAAATCAAAATAGTGTTATAATGAAAACAGTTACAACATTCCTTATTCAACATAACTTCTAGTATAACATGAAGCGACTCACTGTCTTGTACTACAAGTGTGGGCTACAAGTGTGGGCTTATCTTAACATTCCACAGTTAAAACAATATGACAGTACGAATTTCACTGTGGCTAAATATTTAGACGTCAGACACTATTCTAGCACGACATATTGAATATATTACAGAGTCGTAATGATCATGTGTCACTGATTCAGCTTCACAACACAAAGGGTTTATTAGCTGTAGCTAACTGTTCTAAACGTTATTTAGTCGCTTTGAACTAGAAATGATGCATATTGTGAAATGGCCTCCTTTTTATCTTTGAAACCCAAATACATGTAGAGCAACCGGAATGTATAGATGAATCTTAGGAGGTTATTATAAATCTTCATATAGAACTTATTACCAAAGTATTTTATTCTTTATCTCTTCCGATATTATTAATACACACCATGGAAGCTGGTAATTAACTTCCCACAGTTCTTAATACACACCATGGAAGCTGGTAATGAACTTCTCACAGTTCTTAATACACACCATGGAAGCTGGTAATGAACTTCCCACAGTTCTTAATGCACACACCATGGAAGCTGGTAATGAACTTCCTACAGTTCTTAATACACACACCATGGAAGCTGGTAATTAACTTCCTACAGTTCTTAATACACACCATGGAAGCTAGTAATGAACTTCCTACAGTTCTTAATACACACCATGGAAGCTAGTAATAAACTTCCCACAGTTCTTAATACACACCATGGAAGCTGGTAATTAACTTCCCACAGTTCTTAATACACACCATGGAAGCTGGTAATGAACTTCTCACAGTTCTTAATACACACCATGGAAGCTGGTAATGAACTCCCCACAGTTCTTAATACACACCATGGAAGCTGGTAATGAACTTCCTACAGTTCTTAATACACACCATGGGAGCTGGTAATGAACTTCCCACAGTTCTTAATACACACCATGGAAGCTGGTAATGAACTTCCCACTGTTCTTAATACGCACCATGGAAGCTGGTAATGAACTTCCCACTGTTCTTAATACACACCATGGGCGCTGGTAATGAACTTCCCACAGTTCTTAATACAGGCCTTATTCTTCTCTGGATGTAGAACTCAGATTACAGGCAGTAATAGATTTTTCACTATCATTTGATGACTGTACTTCACAACGTATTAAAGAATCGGATAAAAGGGGGCTGGGATGTTAGTTGCTAGCTAGTGGGGGGCCACAGACCAACAACGGAAAAAATAAAGATAAGTGAGAAAGAAATTGAATCGCCGGATTTTGGTAATGTTCACTGGGATTGAGAGGATTTTTATTCTTTTATATAAGCATGTTATATCTGGTGTTCTTTAGGTTATCTGTATGTTATATTTGATATATCGAGTGTTCTTCAGGTTATCTGTATGTTAATATTTGGTATATCTGGTGTTCTTTAGGTTATCTGTATGTTAATACTTGATATAACTGGTGTTCTTCAGGTTATCTGTATGTTAATAGTTGATATATCTCGTGTTCTTTAGGTTATCTGTATGTTAATACATGATATATCTGGCGTTCTTTAGATTATCTGTATGTTAATACTTGATATATCTCGTGTTCTTTAGGTTATCTGTATGTTAATACATGATATATCTCGTGTTCTTTAGGTTATCTGTATGTTAATATTTGATATATCTGGTGTTCTTCAGGTTATCTGTATGTTAATATTTGATATATCTGGTGTTCTTCAGGTTATCTGTATGTTAATATTTTATATATCTGGTGTTCTTTAGGTTATCTGTATGTTAATATTTTATATATCTGGTGTTCTTTAGGTTATCTGTATGCTAATATTTGATATATCTCGTGTTCTTTAAAGAACACGAGATATACCAAATATTAACATACAGATAACCTGAAGAACACCAGATATATCAAATATTAACATACAGATAACCTAAAGAACACGAGATATATCAAATATTAACATACAGATAACCTGAAGAACACCAGATATATCAAGTATTAACATACAGATAACCTGAAGAACACCAGATATATCAAATATTAACATACAGATAACCTAAAGAACACCAGATATATCATGTATTAACATACAGATAACCTAGGTTATCTGTATGTTAATATTTGACGTTATTGAAAAGTTTTCTGTAATTAGAACTTTGATCCTAAACACCTGAAAACCAATTTAAATCCTTCTCAACCGAACGTCGAAGACGTGTTATATATAACCTTAATGCTTTCCGAAAGCAATCAAGTGTTTCCCTGCGTGGCCTTTCCACAGGAAAGCGTTCAGCTGTTCTAAAGGGTTCTGCTAAACGAGGTGTTTTGTTTCAGTGACAAAATAGTTAGACGCCTGAAAGCTTTGCTTCTGGGTAGATTTATACCTGCTACACTAGATTTACTCGGCCATGGTGATCTAGTTAGGGAAAGAATTAAGGTAACTAAACATATAGTACCATATAACTACGTTCGTCATTATTGGGTTTTGTTTGCTATTTACATCAAGGTTTACTTAGTACAAGGAACATCATCTGTGTAAGGAAAAAATTAAGTTCAATTTTAACACTAAAATGATGTGTCCACAGTAAAATCACTAGAAATCGTTCTTCTGTACTTTCTGTTTGTACAACGCACACTATTAACAATGTAACTACGTAAGTAATGTGATATTATATTACTATTAACAATGTAACTACGTAAGTAATGTGATATTATATTACTATTAACAATGTAACTACGTAAGTAATGTGATATTATATTACTATTAACAATATAACCATCTTAAACTATTAACAATGTAACTACGTAAGTAATGTGATATTATATTACTATTAACAATGTAACTACGTAAGTAATGTGATATTATATTACTATTAACAATGTAACTACGTAAGTAATGTGATATTATATTACTATTAACAATATAACCATCTTAAACATTGTTAATATTAATATAATATCACATTAGTTACGTAGTTACATTGTTAATATTGACATAATTTCACATTACTTACGTAGTTACATTGTTAATATTGATATAATATCACATTACTTACATAGTTACATTGTTAATATTGATATAATATCACATTACTTACGTAGTTACATTGTTAATAGTAATATAATATCACATTAGTTACGTAGTTATTGTTAATAGTAATATAATATCACGTTACTTACGTAGTTACATTGTTAATAGTAATATAATATCACACTACCTATGGTTTTAAGAGAAAGCTATCTTAACGCTTCCATTCTTCAATGGCAGCGTAAAATATGTCTAATAAAAATTCGAAAATAATATTTCCCTCCTTTCAGTAGATGAGCTAAATATAATTATCATCTCTATCAGTTCTATGGATGAGACCCAGACAGCTAGATTACGACGAAGACCGCGTTAATCTTACGTTTCTTTTGTATATTTTTAGGTAGCATGGATTCACACAGACAGGTCTACCTTACTAACCTTAGCAACTCGTGTAATCACGAGAAATTCTCGCTACCAGGTGTCTCACAACAGCCATCGCACGTGGTGGTTGCACATTAAAAACGTACAGATGAGGGACAGGGGACAATATATGTGCCAAATCAACACCTCTCCAATGAAGAACCAGGTGGGATACATAAAAGTGGTTGGTAAGTATTACGTACATGTTTTCTATTAAATCTCTACATGAAATGTGACTGTAAGAACGTTGATATCATTAGGGCCGAAGCTATGTGAATCCAAAGAATTCATGGTTCGCAACCTGTTGGCACAGAAGCACTCTGATACCTTGGGCACGTTATAAGAGTGACAGTGAAGTCCTACTATTCGATCAGACAAGAGTAGCACAAGAACTGCCAGTGGTGAAGGCCACTAGCCTCGTTCCTTTTAGTGTATCGGTTGTAAGTCAGGGAAGGCTGTATGGAGAAAGTTTAAAATTAATTCAAATAATTTCCTGTTTTTTTACAAATCGTCAGCATGAACTACATTAATGACGTTAAGTTTTCGTTCGTGTGTGATGATCACGATCCAGTATTACATCATAAACGTTCTCCATAATATTCCATAAACAGTTTATAAGATATCATGACAGCACTTGGATTAATTTAAAACATTCGATACAACAATCAATATCAGATACGAAATGATCACAGGCATTTGCTATTAGATTCACTATACTAGACTGCGCTAGAGGGTCTATTGTGATACAAGAATTTGGTTTTGGTTTTGCTTTTAAAGCAAAAAAAGCCACACAATAGACTATCTGTGCTATCAAAACCAGATTTTTCGCGTCTAAAGCCTACAGACGTTCCGCTGTTCCACTAGGGGGGTGAGGGTGGAGGGTGAAATAAAAAATTAGATATGTATGTCTTTTTACTTATTGAATATATCCTGGCAAGTTTTATTTTCTGGTAAGGGAGATATTTTTAAAATGGTGATTGAGGTTCAAGATAACAATCGTTTTTTTATTTTTTATTCGATGTTAATAAAAGTATATTCAAATGACGAAACTGAGATAATTGTATTTGTTTTGAGACAACGCCGATAATAATGCTTAATTATTCTACTTAATTATTCTCCAAATGATAAACTTTAATCACCCCAAAGATCAAATCTCTCCTCTTTGTTTGAAAAAGGCCCAAAGATCTTATGACATTAAAGTTATTTCTGGATTTATGAATTATAGGGTCATTTTCCACGGCGATATATTATCATTGCTTCTCGAGATCTTACTGTACACGTGCTGCGTCTTTAATTATTCTAGGGTAGGCACAATGACAAATACTTTTTAATTAAACTGATTATCGTGAACAAGGGATAAAATAAATGACAACAGCTAATTGTACAAGTACGATGCCTGAGAGGCAGAGGAAGCTCGTGAACCTGTAACTGCTATTCCAAGATATTACTGCTGCAGGCTTATAATACATTATATTTGTGTTTTTATCCAAAGATGAGATAAATGTCAATATGTAGGAAGAACAAAATAAAAACTAACGTTGTTATTCTATGGAAGATTCTTAGAAACTTTTTCAAGAATATTCTATTATTATCATTTTATTTGTATTAAGTATATTAACCAAAAGGCAGCTCTTAGTTAAGTTTCGATTGATTCATTGATTCTACTCAAATAATAAGGATCTTAAGTTGAAACGATAATTGATCATATGATATCAAAACTTTGCTTGCAACATGTTATTTTTAAACAATGATTCCTCAGTAGTTCAAACTTTTCCACCAACAAACATGTAATAGAACTGACATGTTTTTAATAGTAGAGTACATGAACAAGATAATACGTTTGATGTAGTCCTTGATTTGGTCGTTCATTAACGATATATTGAACTTATGTGTTGAGTCGTTAAATTAAATGTAAAAATGATATAAGGAACCAGAAAGACAGAAATAGTGTTGTTTTGTAAAGATATAGGGAACCAGAAAGACAGAAATAGTGTTGTTTTATAATGATATAGAGAACCAGAAAGACAGAAATAGTGTTGTTTGGTAAAGATATAGAGAACCAGAAAGACAGAAATAGTGTTGTTTTGTGAAGATATAGGGAACCAGAAAGACAGAAATAGTGTTGTTTTGTGAAGATATAGGGAACCAGAAAGACAGAAATAGTGTTGTTTTGTCAACACTATTTCTGTCTTTCTGGTTCCTATATCATTATACCAAACAACACTATTTCTGTCTTTCTGGTTCTCTCTATATCTTTACAAAACAACACTATTTCTGTCTTTCTGGTTCCCTATATCTTTACAAAACAACACTATTTCTGTCTTTCTGGTTTTCTATATCTTTACAAAACAACACTATTTCTGTCTTTCTGATTCCCTATATCATTATAAAACAACACTATTTCTGTCTTTCTGGTTCCTATATCATTCTAGTGTTGTTTTATAATGATATATGGAACCAGAAAGACAGAAATAGTGTTGTTTTGTAAAGATATAGGGAACCAGAAAGACAGAAATAATGTTGTTTTGTAAAGATATAGGGAACCAGAAAGACAGAAATAGTGTTGTTTTATAATGATATAGGGAACCAG